AAAATTTAAATTAAAAAATAATTTCATTTTTTATTTTATTTTTATTTCTCTTTGGCCTGGCCGCGCAAGTGGACCCGGGCCACTCTGGTAGCCTAGGTCAAGACAGTATTATTCCCTTATGAGAAAAAAAGGTCAAGGCTGTATGCTGTGTGCAGTTTTGGCCTTTCTAGCTTTAAATGGTTGGAAAAGAAAAAAAGAAATGTTCAATTGTTTCCGAAAAAATAAAACAAAAGACGTTTATGCAAATTGTATCTCTCAAATTTTGCCGATACAACATGTTACACTTCCTTTTTTTTTCTTTTTTTTTTCTCCAAAGGGCAGCCAGATGTCGTATGATCCAGGCACTCCGGCCTGGTTCATACGACGGCTGCTTTTGAATTATATGGTATGTACAGTATGTTAGTGATGCTTATAGTATTAACAACAATTATTGCTCTCTGAAGAGTTTATTAAACTTTATTTACAGGTCATGATTTAAATAACGGGGAAATTTTGCAACTTCGACAAAACTAAGTGGCCAATGGCTATAAAAGCCTACAATATATATATATTTTTATTTATAACGAAACAGCCAGGAGCCGGGCCCGGCGACCCTTATATTTCGGTGCCAGGAATCGGGCCTGGCATTCCCTTTACGAAAAAGTTGTGCGGTCCTGTTTAAGGGCGAGACATCACCGGTCAAGAACACATATTGAACAAGCTCAGAGATACGAATCAATGACATATTTTATGACCTACAATAATATTGGATTTGTGGTTGTTTGGCATTTGTGCCAAGGATGAACAAGAAATAAGTAATTAATTGGTGGTTGGTTATCGTCTTTTTCCTTTACTTATCCTTTTGTCTTTCCTCTTGTCTTATCCATGTTTCTCAAAGTTTAACTTTTGTATATCATTGGCAACAATATTTAGAAGATAAAACTTCATAAAAATATAGAAAAATAACTTCCATTTAAAAATTGGTCAGACAAAGAGGTTTTAGATAAGTAATAGGATGTTTTATTATTTTCAAATGCAAGTACTTTGGGCTCGTCCCTCCAATTTTGGTCTTCTTGACAAGTTGTTCAATTTTATCTCAATTTAAGTTTTTCATTCCATTGGTCCCTTTTAACTGTTTTCTAAGGACCTGCCAAAAAAAACACTGCTGATTTGTGAGTTTTTCGACTGGAATGAATGCCTTGCTGAGATTTCCGCTTTCTGCTGAGTTTTCTAAGTCTGTGTGTGTGTGTGTGTGTGTGTGTGTGTGTGTGTGTGTCTTAGTGCTTGTCGGCTTGAGTGTGTGTGTGACCCGCAAGGGCACCTGTTCGTTCTTTGGGCCCGAAGGGCCGGTACTTACCCGTGGCCGGGACTTTGGGGTCGCAGCAGGGAAAACACTCAAGTAGGGGGGAGTGAAACGGTATTCACCAATTCGTGGTAGCTGAGGCAGATCCCAGGGCTCGATCCCTAGTTCCCCAACTTACCTGTGTACAATACCTGCGTCAACTCGAAGAGTTGAACCTGCGACCTGTAGAACCGCCGGTGGTAGGTAGGTCTGTCGTAGGTCTATAGGTAGCCAGGATTCGATCCGTAGACCTGTAGATTAGAAGGCTAGCTGCAGTCCTTCTAGAAGGTTGGCAAGTGGTCAAGTGGTGCAGGCAAGTGGGCAAGTGGTGTGACTAAAGCAAGCCCATGTTGGAGACGAGGACAAGTGGCAAGGGCAAATAGTAGGACCCCAGTGCAACTGCACTGCGTTGTAGGGTAGTCGCCATGCAGTCATGGGAGAGTCTAGAAAGTACCAGTCCGGTCCAGCAAGTACCACGGGGGGGACTGTGTGCACCATGGGCCAGGGATACAGGGCAGACCAACGCAGCGCAGAAGTATAAATCAAGAGGCTGCGTCCAGCCATTCATTCATTCCTGCGGATGCCATGCGGAAGCGCTGCCTTAGCAGCTTGTGCGAGGAGGTCTGCAGTGTGCCGGAAGACGAAGTGGGCAGAGAAGTGTAGTGTAGCGATAGGTAGTGGCAGCTAGCGCTGCCATAGCTGTAGCATAGCGTGTGTGTGTGTTGCGTGTGGGACATCCAGGGTGATCCAGAGTGCGAACAGTGAGTTGTGTGGGCACCCAGTCGCCATAGCCAGTTGAAGAGAACTCGTATCTGGTTACGATATCTTAAGTACTGTCAGGACGCATGTCGCCAGTTGCTGCATCGCTGTTTGCATGCAAGACAAGTGTGAATAATCGGAGTGTGATTGCAGGAGTAGGCCCCCAACACTTAGAGCCGCGGGAAAGACGCGCAAGTAGCAGGTAGGACGGTACCACTCGAGTAGCGGTAGATTTGTCAGGAACCCGAGGCCGAGCAGAAGAAGACAAAAGTTGGCATTTTTAGAGGCCCAGTAGCAGTAGGCTAGGTCTAGGCGGGGGTACCAGTCCAAGTGGTGGCCTGTAGTCTAGGGCCTGTGCGAAGGATATCATAGCCTGCAATGATGTTTACCTCTGAAAGAGAGGAGGTACCCGTTGCTTGGAGGCCGCGCAGCCTGGAGGTCACCGCCGAAGAGGCAGGTTAGAGGAGCGCCCAGCTCCCCACCTTGGTTATGGTGGAGGAGTTCGTGTAGGAGGAGGAGGAAGAAGGGGACTAGGAGACGGAAGCGCCAGGGGCACTTACCTGGCTATGGTGGACACCATCTTCATGACCTTGGTGGGCGCTGAATCTGGAAGGCCCCCCATGGGGTAGAGCTGCATCAAGAAGCTTCGAGGCAGAGTCGGGCATGGTGGCCTGAGTGGAAGAGGCCATAGATGCTTTGTGTTATCTTTTGCACGTCAGGGCAAGACCTTCAGTAGTCCGCCATAGCCTCGGCCTGGAGAAGAGGAAGGTGAAGGGCGCCCATGGCTATGGTGGACCGCAAGTTGTGCTGGCAGTAGAAGAGGGATTCGAACATTGATTCTGGTTCAGCCATCCATCAGTATTATTATTGTTTATTGAATGAATAAGTGAGGAGGAGACAAGGGGGAGGAGTTGGTTGGCGAGAAGAAGGGGATATATTATCATTGGTCTTTTGCTGGTGTACTTCTTCTTCTTCTTCTTCTTCTTCTTTCCCTCTCTCTCTTCTCAAGTTCATTCATTCCTTTTTGCAATTGGACGGCATTGTGCCTTCTTGTGAATTTGTACTTCGAAATTGGCCAGGATCATAACAGTTTTACATTTCTAATCTTCACTTGATTCTGCATCTTTGTACCTTTCTTATTTTATCATAACACTTTATCAACCTCTGCATCATAGTCTTTTTTTTATTTTATTATTATTATTATTATTATTATTATTTATTTTATTTTTTATCTCGGCCTTCTTCTCGAAAACTGTTCGTCGGACAGCAAGGTCCTGTTCGCACACTGTATTTTGGCCCGCCATAGGCCCAGATGCGCGGATCCATTTGCTGCCTTGTTCAGGTGGGCTAGCTATCGATGAGCAATTCCAATGCAAAGGGACCATATTTCCGCATCTGTTTCCTCAGCTCCTCCTCCCTTCACCCATCTCTTTCTTCACTTTTTCCTTTTTATTGCTCTTTGAATTGTCCCCTTTCCTTAGTGCCTCCATTTCTTACTTTGTCCCTTCAACTCTTCTTCATTTCACTACTGCTTCCCACTCTCCTCTTTACTATCCCACCAAACCTTTTTCCAACTCTGCATGGCCACTGTCTGTTTTTTCTCACTAAAATTTTTCCCTTTCATTCCTCACTTGCCTCCTTATTCTTCCACTTCTTACAGAGGTTGGGATATGTCCTTCGGTGAACTTCATGTACTGCCAATTTGCCGTTGTACAAAAATCTACAGTATAATTTCTTCAGATTTCTTCCCATTGAAACTCGAAAAAAAATATACTTTTTTTCAAATTTAGAGGTCCTTTTTTGCATGAGCTCTCTCTCTCTCTCTCTCTCTCTCTCTCTCTCTCTCTCTCTCTCTCTCTCTCTCTCTCTCTCTCTCTCTNCTCTCTCTCTCTCTCTCTCTCTCTCTCTCTCTCTCTCTCTCTCTCTCTCTCTCTCTGTGTGTGTGAGTGTGTGTGTGTGTGTGTGTCACACGCACACACATCTTTCCTGCCCTCAATCTGCATGAGCTCTCTCTCTCTCTCTCTCTCTCTCTGTCTCTCTCTCTCTGTCTCTCTCTCTCTCAATAGTTCAGGGGTGGGCATCTTTGACATCTGGACAAACAATGAGCCATGTGGATGGCTAAACTGTCTCTCCTTACAGGGTACTGCTCAAAGCAATAATAGTACCGTATGGTAGTTGTCGAAGGTGTACCAGGAGTGGATTGCTGAAAATGATGAACAATTCAACAAGACAATTCCAGTGGGAAGAACCTCCAACATGCCTGCAAAAAGCATGTTGTACAACTAAGTCCACGACAAGTGCGCTCCCTTTGCATCCACACAGGAACATAAGAAAGGAAGGGTGTAAAACCTGGACTGAACCACTTTGTAAGTTTGTACCCAACCAAAATAAAGATCAGAAAAAGGAAAGGAAAAAAAAAACAGAAGGACAAAAAAATCGATCGAAAGAAATGACTTTGACCGCCAGATTGTCAGCGCCATAGCGAGCCACTGCTGGTGAGCCTCTGCCGCTTTCGTTTGAACAAAATCGGTGATTTGCGTAATCAATGGCGTATAGCATCATTTTGGCTCACCGGTATGCAGCAAGCCGGTAGAGCACGCTGGCGCTCTCCCAAGGGATAGGAGCCACATAGGACCTTCGTCTCTGATAAATTCTCCCATATCCCACAGCCTGCATGGTCCCTCGTTGAATCGCGCCCCCCCCCCAAAAAAAAAATCACCACCTGGCTAATCTCACCTCTTAAGCTGAAGGGGCAAAATTGCAAACTTTCCGGCGAAGTTCCGCAAATCTTCATATATGTCCCTGCAGCTTCTATGGATCTTTCCCTAAGATCCCTGAGAAATTGTGAGAATGTTAAGTATTTCATGGCTAGTATTTGTCACCGTCAACCTCCTTGTCGGTTTCTTCAAGCGAAACCCACTTGACTTTGAACCCCTGAAAGGGATGCGTAACCCTTCGGGGGCGGCGAAGTTTGATCAAGCAAATGGTCAGGCAGGGGCATATTGAATTTCAGACGGAACGCTTTTTCCAAACGCATATATTCAGTTTCCATCTTGGCATCGTAGGCCTCCTTCTCTGCTGCTGCTTTCTGAGCTCCCTGCAAACGCCGTGTTCAGGACAGACAAAACAACTGAGGACCGATAGAGGGAAGATGATGTGACTGAGGGATAACGTAGCGCATCCAGTGACTAAAGAGCTTGCATTGCGCACAGTGGCAGCGACTCCGTAAAAAGCGCAGCATCAACCTAATGGTAGAGCCCGGAGACGGCGACGAGAGCATGTTTATTCCAAAAAGCGCACAGTGTGCAAACAGAACCTTGCTGCCCGATGCGCCTGAGGCACACAACACGCCCTTGTTTAGGCTTTTCCTTAATTGTTTGCAGCAAGGCGCTGTACCAAAACAAGAAAGCGTATGTTCCGGCGGAATCCGGCCCAAGCTATACAGTGTTGCGCATTCATGTCACAAGAGAGACCGATGTAGCAACTGAGCTACCATCTTCACCCGAATAGAACGCCCGGTCATTATCGCTGCATCTGGACCGAAAGTTGTGCCAAATACGGCTATACTGACCAGGCGGGTGAAGACAGTAGTACCCAGAGTGCCCAGAACAAGTGTGCAGTGCAGAGTGCAGCCCAACTTGCTTCTCTGCGTTCTCCTTGGGCTCACATGTCTCGGTGAAAAGGGGAAAAAAAAAAGAAAAGAAAATGCACTTTTTTTTTGGAAAAAGGAAAGAACTGGTATAAGGTCATTTCCAGCTTCCAAGTTCCAACTGATTGACCTTTAGACTTTTCTTTTTTTCATTTCTGACCCTTTTTCCGGGCTTTCCCATATTCGATTCTGCCCCTTGGTTGGGCATGCATGCATGCATGCTTCACACTTTTCACACTATGTACATGCTTTTGGCTCCGCCCTGCTTGGCGATGCTTGCCTAAAAGTGCGACTCCTATCGAAAATGACGATACGATCATTGGCGGATGCGCTGGATGCACACATCGCAGCGTCTTGCGAATTATGTAGCACATACAAGGTGAGAGTTCTATGTGCCAACTTCATTCCACAGAGTGCAGAGTTGCAGAGTTGAAATGACATAAGAGAGTGCGAAGCAGAGTTTGCACAGGGTTTCCATCATTTTCATTCCACAGAGTGCAGAGTTCTTTTCTTCGTTTTCCCCTCCTTTTTCTTTTTCATGGGGATATCCCCATACACTTTTGTATTTATTTGACTCCATCTCAGGAATCAAAACCACAATCTGTTCGCTCGAGAGAGTGTATGTGTATACCCCTCAGCCACATGCAGTGAGACAGATGAGAGGATAGTTACCTTTTTGCTGGAGGCCTCTTTCTGTCCTTTCTCACCGGGACGAGCATCCTGGGGTGTCATTTCTCTTTGGCCCATTTCAGCTGCACGGATCCCAGCTCTGATCGCAACGTAATTGACCCTGTCAATCTCCCGCTCAAAGAAGTTTCGCATATATTGTTTCTGATGTCAGCATGGTTCACCCAGCACAAACAAAATAAACAAGAACAAAAGTGAGATGATAGATTTGGGAGAGAAAAAACAAAGCAGTGGCACACACACACACACACACACACACACACACACACACACACACACACACAGAGCTGTCTCTTATACACATCTAGATGTGTATAAGAGACAGGATTTCTCTAGTGATTGCGCGCCGGTAGCACTTGCTTTATTGCTCGCTTGATTGCTCGCTTGATTGGTCACTTGATTGGTCACTTGATTGCTCGCTTGATTGGTCACTTGATTGGTCACTTGATTGCTCACTCGATTGGTCACTTGATTGCTCGCTTGATTGGTC